TATCAGTTTCTATGCCAGTGGAAAACAAACACCTTCAAGTACGGTACTTTTGATACTTTCTTGAAGTATCTGATGTGTTGGACATGCGCCATAAGAGGTCTTGTGGATCACAGGTTCAGTCATCCGTACCTCAGAGGAGTTATTCTATGTATGTGTGTCATGATGTTATCAAAGTAACAGGACAGGACAGACCCTGGACCAATCACATTGAAAGACATTACTCCTAAGGGCAAAGCTCGAACCTAGATGGAGAACTAGGATTCTCTCTGCTCAGAGGTCCCACACCAAGGGTGAAAGGTGGAAGAGAGCTCCCTCCTCCAAATCAGGACACAGCAAGCCAGCAAAGAGTATGCACTGCACCAAGTCGGTCCGCGGGGCGAGAGGCATCGCTCAAGCCCCCGGGGTGAGAATGGCTGGCTTGAACGCTCCTTCCTCCCAGGGAATTTCTGCAAGGACACGTGTGGCTGGAAATGGAGAAGGAGACGGCAGCTGACTGACGCCTGTGATGTGGCAGATGGGGAGGGGGACAAAAATGAGTCTGTACCCAGGTGCAGACAGAAATAAAGTCCGAGTGGCAGGGCCCACGAACTCCCATGATTCCACTGGCGTGACCCGACACCTCGATGCACAGTGGCCCGGTGCATGGGGGGAGGGGACTTGGGGCACAGACAGGTCACAAAAACACACACATGCACCAACATCAATCTCTCGGGCACACAGTCTCAGATTAACCGTTGAGAAACTAAAAAACGACAATGGGGGGGGCGGGTCGACGGGGAACCGGAAGCTTTTCCTGAGACACCAGCAGCTCCTGGCTACACGCATCCTTAGCTGCTTAGCTTATCCAAGGTGACTTGGTCATACTGTTTCAGAAGCCAAAAAAAAAAACCTCACCAGAGCAATTCAAGCTCAGTCACCTGCCTAAGGGAACTGCAAGAGGGTGTCTAAAGAGATGTAAACTTTGAGCTCAGGGTTACAGGTCAGCGGGGCAGAATTGGCGGACAGAAGCCTATAAACGGCAGCATTATCAATAGCGCAGCAGGTTATGGGCTAGATCACGACAGGGCTTCCCTTCAGCATCGCTGGCAGCCCACTTGACGTGGATGGAGCCCATCAATGACCACCATGTGACAGAGGTCCCTGTGTCACACAGCTCCCTGGGACACCAGTCACAGCTTTCTGAGGCACTGGCCTGTGCAGCAGGTCCCCACGCTGAGGTAAGTCAGCCGGTGGTCCCCGGCTTATAAGGCGACATAACGGAGGGGGGGGGGGGATATGACATCCTCAAGAACACCTGTTCAGCTCCACACTTGGACCACTAACCTAGATAGTTTTTATGGGGTGGGGGGGGGGAGGGAGGAGGGGGCCTCTGCCCCACTGGGATTCTGCTGCCACATGCAGAACACGGCAGGTCGGAATCCGCCTCTTGGTCTCAACGGGATTTCTTCAGCAGACCAGCACAATCTGGGTGGCCCAAAAAACCAGCACCATGGGGGTCAGCGCTCCCGATGCGCGCGAACCCTTAGTGTTCCCTTTAGCCAAGGAAGAGACTATTTGTTTGTCATGGGGGGGAGGGGGATTTTTCCCCCCCACAAATTTGCCAGTGTCTTTCGAAATTCTTATACAAGGCCAAAGGAACAAGAACCATTAATTCAATTGCATATATTCCAACAATAGCACCATCATTTGTTCTTAAACTGTGCACTACCTAAGCGGCAATACAGCCAATGAACTTCCAGATTCCCCCTCAAGTCCACTACACTCAACCCAGAAATCACAAAGCCAAGCCACAAAACTTTGAGCCCAGTTCGGGGTGTGTGATCACCTCTCCACAGGAGCACTTCTCTCCAGTCAAGACCTTGGTAAGGCTGCAGGTTCCAGTGCAAATAGTAAGTAACTAATCTGAAGGGTTAACGCCATCTTCTTTCAGGAGTTCAGGCTCTCTTCGTCCTTGAGTTCTTTTTTTAAATAAGAGCTCAAGATAAAAACTACGTTACGTAATGCTGCTTTCACAACAGATAACGCAGTGCGTAAAGCCACGTTTTTAGATAGCATCTGACTAAATCCCCCACACCCTTTTCATTCAAGCTACTGATTATATCAAAGAAAAAATAATAAAAAAAAAGATACAATGCATTTTTCCATTGGCTTGTCAGGCCTTACATACCGTCTTAAAAAGACTGCAATGTGGACAGTAAGTTTGATGTTTGTCTTACAGTACATCTATGTTTTGTACACCAGAAAAGATAAGTGTCAGTTAATCTCCAAGAGTACCTACAATACACTACAACTGTAAAGAGTAGCACAGGAGGTTACTGAGGTAGTACATGACTTTGTAACTTTATTTACTTCCATGACTTCATGAAAAACCAGGCACTTCTCAACAATAAGACCAGACACCTTAAAAGACAGGCATGCAACCCTCTCGGTCACAGCGCTCATGGTAAGAACTTACGGCACTTACACTTACGGCACGTACCCCAAACTTACGGCACGTAACAACTTCTAGGTCAAATCCCACAGTATTATCCTCTATCAAGTTCCCATCTTCTGGCTTTGGAAGGAGAGAAAAAAAGGCATCCTTTAATGGGTGTGGGTCACCTCATTCATTATGGAGACTGCCAATCACTGTCATTCCTCAGCCCCCTCCCAACCAGCAGGTCTGTGCCAGAAATTAAGTCACAGCTGAGCTGCCTTTCTCTCTTCCTCCCTCTGTCTCCACTTTTCAGTCTAGGCTGTCATCTCAGCTGCCCCCTCCCTCCCTCCCTCCTTCCCATATGCCCCAGTCAGGTGGCAACTCACCACCACCACCCTGTGCTCCTGAGCGAGCGAGCTCCCTCTCTAGGTTTCACCCAGACAAGCCACGCCCATCCAGAATACACCCAATCACAGCCCTATTCACCCCAGGCTCCACCCACCAAAATGTGCCACACATCCGAGATTCATCCAATCACAGGACACCCCTGCAGACAACACAGTACAAAAAGAAATGCCCCAGTCACTAGATTTACAAGCACTTCATATACCAATATACGGTCTATACAAAAAAAAAAAAAACATTAATTTAGACAGTGTAACTATGTTAAGCCAATAAGAAATCAATGAAGACAAGTTTAAACTGCCCTAATGACCAGAAGGGAGAACAGCTGAACAGGTGGTTTTTACAACACTGAGAATGCAGGGAGGATGCAGGATTCAGCGGTAACACCCCTACTTGGAAGCATTTATGGCCTGTGCACCACTGGGGGGGGGGCGTTGCAGCCACTGCACTGCAGTGCTGGAACAAGCACCTCCACGGGTTCATTATTGAGCTGACCAGCACCGGCCAAAAACATGAACTCAGCTCCTGACACAGACTCACATCCACATTCACAGGGTGCATTCAGTCTGCATTCCCCCTTCATGTTAAACTAAACAGTAGTAAACTACTACTCTCACTTATCTAGCACCTTGGACTTTCCTGTAACACACTATTTTAGTGACTACAGCAACCTCACAAACAGTACTGCTACAGCTATATCAGCAGTGAATAGCATTTAATAGCTTTAACTGAAACCATGTCAGAAGGGGACCAGATGCACAAATTTCTGCCCTAAATTAAGATTTATTGTAGCAAATAAACACACAAGCACACAAACTTTTGTTTCTTAAATACAGAAACTTAAGCTGCATCCAGAGATAATAAAACAAAATGAGCAAAATGATATGCAGACGCAGTTAATCGAGAGGACACAATGGCAGCCAGTGCACACCAATCTGCCGTCTAAACTGACAGGGAGGGAGACAGTCCTGCGGAGGCCGGCCCTGGAGCTTTACTCCGTCCGTTTGATGCTTCAGAGGCGGCCCGGAGTTACAGGGATCCTCTATTTATTACCACAGGAACATTTACACATGAAAAGGAGTGGGAAGCTGAGGACTAACAGCCAGAAGCCCATAAACAATACTGCGTGCAGGAGGTGATCATTTGCAACGGTGGACTCAGAAAACAGGAAATGGGACACCGATTAACAGCAAATGTATTTATCTATTATGCTTAGTCAACGATTTTACCCTTACAGACGTAAACGTGTACAGCAGGGTGTTTGGATGAAGTACGTTTTCTCAAGGACGGTTACAGTCCCCCCCCCCGGCTCCATCTTTAAGCACCGCTACACGGGAGGCTTAACAGGTGTCCAGGGAACTAAATGTTACACATGCCGACTTCGCAGGTGACATTTTTCCAAATAAAAATGTTAATTTCGGTGGAAAGGCAACATATTAAAGTACATCACTGGGTCGCGCTGGCTCCTGTAATAAGTCGACAGCACGACTAAGGATGCGCATCGAACATGATCGCAACCACGGAAATGAGTATTAATGCCAGACGACGGCAAGAAAAACAGACACGGACGGCTAGGGCAACCCAGAAAAGTCATGTAATACTCATGTAATGTACGTTTTCGGGTGTTATGAGACACGCCGGACGCCAGCTGTCATGACCACAGACGGCCGTCCCCGTAACATTAACGTTAAAATCCAGCGGAAAACGAACTAGCCCCAGACATTCGTCCACAACGTGAATTATCCCGAAACCAATAGCCGATTGCTAGAGAGGAACAACGGGCCTCTGTTACCTTCCTAATAAACAGCACATTTAACTAGTTAAGCGGGTTAAAATAACGGGTAAAGAAGTTACAAGGCCAGTCACCCATTAGCATCCGGGATCGAGATGGTCATCTATTACCTTCGGCTGTAAGGTTTATCCTGCTAATTCAGCGCCTCACAGTCTTGCATTGGCAGATCCCCCACCAGTTAAAAGAAAAGAAAAGAAAAGAAAGAAAAGGGGCCCATTTAAGTTGTCCCAACTCAAGGGGTGGCAGGTCTCTTAATCCCTTATAAATAAAAAGGTGACACTTGCTGGATGAAAGGAAAGGCACCAAGAGGAAATCGTACTGACCCTGATAAGGGCTGGGCACCGGCGCCGGTAGCCGGGACTGACGGCGGATCGCACAGATACTCACTGCTAACTTTCATGCTCCCGAAGGCCGAGGGCTGCGGCACCGGTTTGCAGCTCTCTGCAAAGGAGGTGGTTCTGGGCCGACCCGACATATTCCGATCCAAAAAAAAAAGAAAAGAAAAAAAACCCCACACCGTCCCTTGACTCCGTAACGTCGATTACAGGTTTGATTCGTATTTATTGTCCTCCGTTATTCGGACAGTAGTTCAATCTCAGTTATTTAATGCATAAAAGAGAGGGGGAGATTCCTTCGTCAGCCCTTCCCCGAATGCTCTCGTTAACTGGATATATCTGTCCAACAGCTTTCTTCTTTCTTCAGATCATCCTCTTTTTTGCACATTAGATTATAGGCATCTATAGCGTTACCGGGGACAGCTCGATCTACCGGATCGCCAGGCCTTTGGAGGTGGGGGCCCGTTTTCAATTACCTACCGACGGCCCTTTCCTGCGTCCTTATATTAAAATCAGCGCCGTGCAGTTTCGTGACGCTGTCCGTGATCTTATCGCTGATCTAAAATAGAGAAATCATGGTCTAAATTGCGCTGGCTAACGGCGTTCTTCGCTTCGTAAATGTCGCACCGCACCATAACCCTTCATATACTGAGGTGGAGACTCAGCGATCCGACTGCTCCTGCCATGGCGGCTCCCATCTGCTCGGCTCGGCCAACGGTTCAAATGAAGAAAAAAATCTTTTCAAATCCCCAGATTTAAAAATGAAATTGGCAGAACAGACCTAGTCTCGCGTCCAGTTCTAAAACGCGGAAGTAATAATCTGAACCCTAACCTATGATATAACGGGTCCAAATGCCACCATCGAGACCCCTTTACTTGTGGGGGAAAAACCGCAAACGATTCTAGCCGATACCGCTCCACAAATTCTGAATTTCTTTTTTTATTCCTTCTCCGTCTGTCTCCGCTCGCTCTTTGTCACTCCAGCCCACAGTGCGTAAGTTACGTACAAAGGCTGGGCTGGTACATAGATGCAGCAAAGGGCTACGCCACTTTCCTACAGCGGGAATTGCAAACTGCGCACGCCCAAGCCGACATGGGCGGAGACGGGGTTCCGTTGGCCAATCGAAAGCGGGTTCTACGAAGAAAGGCGGAGAAACCAAACGACCGTGGGCCAATGAATCTGCGGCTATTCCGTCACACTTTCCGAATATTGCCGAAGGCTTCCACTTGTTTTTCGCAAAGCACAGTGCTACTGTACCGGAGGGCGGGCAATCTGTCGGTGCACAGAAAACTGCCATGGACATCTACCAATGAGGTTAAGAACAATGCCGGTAGTGCACCAACAGAATTTGACGGGTGCCGAAAGCGAGCCCCAGTGGCTAAGTAACGCTGTTGCTAGTCGGCTCCTGTAATTTGTCCAATGATATGCCGTGGCCGAGTATAACCCCTTCTTTTTTCATAAACTGGAAAAAAGTGGTATGGAAAGAGTGGCTGAATAATTGTTTTATTATTTTTATTTTATTGCATTTTATTATTGTCTGTATAGTTGATAATGGTATTTTTTAATAAATGTAATACTTATTTTTATTGTTATTATAATAAAATTCAACTGAAGTAAATTATTAAGTTTTACTATAGGCTTATGTTTAGCTACTGATTCACCCAGTTATTCAATGTTTCAGTGTCATACTAATATGTAGAAAGAATGAACTTTTGTCCTTTCTTAGTCGAGTAAAAGCACAGTGATTTACAACCTATTTAAACTTATTTTATTCTTGATTCAATTAAGCACAGCCCCTTTCCCAGTGGAATAGCAATTCCTATGGTTAGATTGTGAAACTCAAAAGTACATTGAAGCAAGAAGACTTAAAAAAATATGACCTGTTTTTATAATCACAGATGGGTGGCTACAAGGCGAGTTAAACCGTTGTCTTAAACCTCCAGAGTTGGGTGTTTAAATCCCACTCTGAGTGCGGAGTGTGCATGTTCTCACTCTGTTATGTGGGTTTCCTCGGGGATCTCTGGTTTCCACCCTCAAATATGCACCATCAGGTTATCTGCCTTCTGCCCTGTATTAACAGGCAACTCCATAAGCTTGTTAGGGATAAATGGTTGGAAGATGGATTGCTGAGAAATCTGCAGGTGACGGTTTACATACATCTTAATGTAAAAGTTACGCAATACCTACACATGAACACAATTAAGTAAAAACTCACAACTAGTGTGCGTCAGTTAATTCTGCCTCTGTGTAATGGGGTCAATACATGTAGACTTATTTTGTTCAGTAGTACAGGAATCACAGTTTAGGCATGTTTGTCATTTTAATTCTTTAATTGTCTGAGTACATGTTTACCCAGAACATGTGAAGGGTATCCATCCATCCATTTTCCAACCCACTTATCGTTCTGGGTCACAGGGGGTCCAGAACCTATGGGCACAAGGCAGGGAACAACCCAGGATGGGGGGCTAGCCAATCACATGGCACACTGACACACCATTCACACACACATACACACCTATGGGCAATTTAGTTACTCCAATTAGCCTCAGCATATCTCTGGACTGTGGGGGGGAAACCAGAGTACCTGGAGGAAACCCCACGACGACATGGGGAGAACATGCAAACTCCATACACTTATAACCCAGGTGGGGGCTCAAACCCAGGTCCCAGAGGTGTGAGGCAACAATACTAACCACCGCACCACCATGCCACACCGAGAAGGGTATCCTGGTCTTTATTTAGTGAAGGGTTCAGAGCAAAATGGCAAAGTGTCAATGAACATGGATGACAGGGGCAAACTTTCAAAGTTTAATGGGTATGTCTGACAGGGATCTGATAGTATATGTGTATCAAAGTATAAAGTACCTTTTTAAAACAAAATTGCCAAAAAATCTCTTGTATATTCACTTTGCGTGGCATTGCCAGATAATCCCTTTATGGGGGGCATTGGTCATACTCTGAAGTCATGAATCAAATGAATTCAGACGGAGGTACTGTGAAGCTGTGAAATCAGTACCAGTAAGTTCTGCAAGCAGCAAACCATCTCATCACATTTACAAATTAAAAACTTTTTTTCTTTCATTTAGAAGGGTCAGATAAACGATTTGTCTGTTGTCCATCAGTCACATTAACGAGTGAAAGAAAGGAGATGCTTTCTCATTCAATAGATTAAGAGAGGAATGTATCCAGTCCTGAGAAATCCAAAGGTTTCACACTGAGCATATACAGAAGTGTAGTGGGGAGGCAGGCAATTAAACAGGTTTGTAGGTGCTTGCAAGCAATATATAGGAATGATAACACACTTTCATAGCCAGATACAAAAATCAATCGACAATCAGAATGTTTACTGGGTATAACAAATTACTGCTTATACATACAGTCCTCAGTAAAATATGCAAAAACACTTTTGAGTGTAGTAAACCACACACATTACATGCTGGATTTTATCCCAAGGTTATTTAATAGAATACATGATAAAAATTGAAATGCAATGCATGTAATAAATTAAGGAAAGAAATTGAAATAAATTAACTCTAATGTACAGAGAGAACTCTCAAAAATCTTGCGGTCACAGGCAAAAAAATGCATACAAAAGAGATTAATACAGGAACACATTAACCATACTGTGAGTTGATGGCATGTTTAAGTAACCTTTTCCTAGCAAAATACAAAAGCTAAATATCCCACTGGTCAGACTGAATAAATGGATACTCAAAACGGATAGATTATCAATACTGCTGTTGACAGGTTTTTTTTTCCCAACAAGTTTAGTAACTTATATACAAAAGATAATAAGGTGTATTGTCAGGTTGTTTACATACTAAATAATTTCATTCTCAGGTCCTGCATTTAAAATGTGCAAAGTAATAAGAAAAAGAAAATAAAGAAAATAATAACCTTCAAACTGTTATTCTGCATACCAGTCTGGTTAAAAGACCAGATCTTGGTAATACCTGAATACAAATAATTACATTAAAAGACACTAAAATAAAAATATATATGTGCACAAAAGGCATGTGATAGGCTCACATCTACAGAGGACAGTTTTGAGTTGAGCTAAAATGGTGGTAATCCAGGCACCTCATGCAATAAATCACATTAATTTTTAAACTCTTACAGGGAGCTAAGTCAACTCATGTTTAGTAAGGCATACATTCACATTGTGCCACAGAACAAAGAACTAAGAAAATAACCAAATACAGCAAAACAAATACTGTCTTTTTCCTCTAATTACTCTAAATTTAAAGGAGCATTTATGACCCAACACAAAAACCATTACGTCTTTGTATTAAAGTCATGTCATTGTGGCTTTATAACTCCACGATTCCTTACAGCAGGACTGTGACTTTTACTTTCGGATGCTGGTGCAGCTTCAGACAAAAGTAGGCTGAAGGTCATCTTTAAAATTTACCACTGGATGGATGATGTGGCAGTAGCTAGGGAAACCACCGGACTCGCTGTCGGACGTTTCCGAGGTGGTGCTGTCCATGGACTCGTACTGTCTGTGGGCGCATGTCTTGCAGTACGAGCTGTGGTAGCAGCAATAGTTCTCCTCGGAGCTGCTGGAATCAGAGTCGGAATAGCAGTACTGATCCTCATGCGGCTCCTGCTCTTCCCGGAGGCGCTCGCTCTCTGTAGGAACGTCACTGGGATCGCACCCTGTGGAGGACATGATGGTACAGGTACGGGTGGCTCCTCCGTGGAGTCCTGAAGAGGCTCGTTTCTGCCAGCCTGGTGAGTGGCAGGCCTGGGCCTCTCCTTCCCCTCCACCGCTGATGACCCCGGAGTCTGAACGCTGAGGCTGTGATACCGTGGTGTCAAGTTCACTTCTGCTCTGGCTGACGGGAGGGTGCTTATTTTGGTAAAAGGTGGCTGCACTTTTGCGGTGTACAGCGGGCACAGACCGTGAGTAACAATATGAAGATAGACCAGCCCTGGAAGAATGGAAGGGGGGCCTCCTCTTCCTCATGATGTAGGGGGAAATGCCTGGGTAGCAAAAGCGGTAGGGGAACTTATGAGAAGACTCCTCAGGACTGGGACTGGAAGGACCTTTATCCCATTTTGGCGACTTGAGGGACGTGGTAATGGCATCCACACTGAGGTCAAGGAGGATCTCCTGTAGCTTCTCACTGCTGACAAAGTTATGTTTGCCTCCCAGTAGAGGTGTCTCTCGCTTAACCTGAGGGACCGATTCTTCAGCTCCAGTGGGAGTGGTATAGCTTAACGGTTGATGCTCAGTATTAGTGACACTATCCAGGGGACTGCCAGAATCAGCCCGTTGTACATCACTCATCGACAGATCCCTAGAACCAGGAGAATCTATAGAGTTGAAGACTGTTGGGATCATAGATAATGTCTCTTCTACATCACTTTCATTCTTGCTGCCCTCAGGAATGTAGTCTGACTTGCCCCCTGCATAGTCAGTGTCCTTAGGAACACTTCCACGTGGCCTCTGTGTAATTCTCTGCCCCGGAAGAAGAGAATTGGGAAGAGGAACATCCATAGCCGTAGCGTCAGTCTCTGACAATGATGCAGCAGGTTCAAGCTGCACTTGCGTTATTTGCGTGGAGGAGGAGTTGAGGTTTGCAGAGGAGTCGGTCTCGTGATGAGCGCCAGGTCCATCAGCTGACATCAGCTTCAGCAGCTTCTCCTTAGCGTTGTTCACCTGCTCTTGGAGGCTGTCAATCACAGCATTCTTCTGCAAAGCAGGACAACTTACACTAGTGACCAAAATCGTGGGAACACCTAGCATTTTTGGCATTCTGCTTTAAAAATTACTACACAAATATTGCCAGTAATGTTTACAAATATCATACACTGGATGATTAAATAACTGGAGTAACTGGAATAAAGTTCTGCAATCTGTATCAATTGGAAGTGTTTCCATAATTTTGGCAACTAGTGTGGGCAATTTCTTCATTACAGTTCAGCCATGCTAAGATAGCAAGAGAAACAGGGGAGGAACAAATAAATTATATGGGGGTGGGACAACGAAAACACTAAAAAATAACAACCAATATTTCTAATTTTATACACTGAATGTGTTCTAAAACAATTGTGTTTATACAGAGAATATACGTCCCATTCCAGGTCGAGGCTTTATTTTGCATTGTCGTTCAATACCAATATCTGACCCTTCATACCAATGCTGACTGATTCATAAGTGCCCTTTAGAATCATTGTCTGGCTGCCTGTAGGTGTTGCCATTTCACTGGGCATTGGCTATTTTCCGCCCTCCTGTACAGCTTTCGGTTTAGCGAATTGGCATTAACAAATTGCTCCCAGATCTTCCATGCATGTCAATGGCCATGAAAGGCGACCAGACAGAACCAAAATAATCGCCAGCTGACTCAGGACTTGTGCTGTTGCTGCCCTCAGTGGATGGAAAACCTGTTGCATTTTAATTATGCATCTTGTAAATGGAACAAGGCAAAAAAAAACTTTGCTTAAATGGAACATTTAAACAGTCACACTTTATGAAGAGCAGTACATGCAGCGAGAGCGTCACTCAGGAGTTGTATGACACCGGCTGAATCTCCACATGCTGACCGTCTCCTCAGCTTTACCTCCATGAGAAGCCTCTTCATGGAGCTGTTCTCCCCCCGCAGGTAGAAGATCTCATCCTCGCTGTACATGGACTGCAGGCTCTTGCTGGGGCTGCTGAAGTACTTGGCCATCTGACTGGAACTGGGGTTCAGCTCCTCCTGAAATTGCTTCCATTGGGCGACCTGGGTGGTGGAAGGTTGAAATTAAATAATGCTTAATTTGCCATTTGTGCAAGTACTGGTACATTGAAATGCTTGTTTGTTGCATATCGCAACTTGCTCTTCATTGAGACATATACTGTCAGAAAAATAGAGTATCGATTTGTACCTTTGTTGTTGCTGTTGTTGTTTGTTGTACTGTCAAGAGTCTGCCAGTTGTACCCTGTAACTGTAGGTAAATGTACCTTTTAAGGTAAAGAAATGGACCATGAGGAACATTTTTGTTCCATTGGGGGCACACTGATGTTGTTTGTACCTTGCGGATGTTCCTCAGAGTCCATTTCTGTACCTTAAAAGGTACATTTACTTACAACTAGGGTACAACTGGCAGTGCCTTGAAGGTACAGCCCCAATGACAACCAAAGGTACAAATTGGTACTCTTTTTTTCTCTGATAGTTGACAAATTGTATAGAAATGTATACAGCTGAGAGCGAAGCTTGGAGGCCCAAGTGCAGGGTCAGCCATTTATCTGGTACCCCTGGAACATTCGGGGGGTCATAGGCAATGCCTAATGGCCGCATAGAGATGTAACAATCCCAGCTGGGGCTGGAACCAGTAACGTTCTGACCACGGGTACAACCTGCCTAACCTGCTGAGCCAGACACTGAAAAAAGTTTCACATGTAAAGGCTGTAAATGAAAGGGCCTCGTGCAACATCTCACCTCTTTATTGCGTGGGTAGATTGTGTTCATTAAGCTTTTTGTTTCAGGCAGTGTCATGACAAAAATACTTTTGTAATATATAAGTTTGTGCTCTTTATATTGTAAAATAACGACAGCTGCAAAGAATTAAGTATGTCAGGAGTAATGAGTAAAGATCATTATGGCTATTGATGAAGGAAGCAGAATCTCTGTCCCAGAAATTGCCTTATACTCCTTATCTTAAATAAACTGCTTCTTGTTTCACAGTAATTCAGAGAAGAGGCAGTCTAAGAGGACCTAGATGAGAGGTCCAGATATTTCACCTGAAGAGATTACAGGTGATTGCTATCTGCACTGGAGGTCCTGAGTTTGAGTTGTCCTAGCCAAATAAGATCCACATATTTCAGAATTTGCACATATCCATGTTAATTCATTTATTAACCGTGACGTCCCCTTCCATGACCTTCATTTTGTTTCATTTTTATTTTATGAGCCTATTCCCTTAACGGGAGATAAAGGAAAGCCAAGAGCCATTGAGCAGACACAGGAGTTAAGTGCTTCTTAACCCTTTTAAGTCATGTGACCTACATATGACCTTTTAATTAAGGATATTTATCACATTCACATTTGTTTTCCACTTCAGTTCTTGTTCCAAATCCTTATCGAGGCAGTTTTCCTTATTTTCATTTGTTTGTTTCCTCTTAGGTAACTTGCAGTTTTTGTTAAATGGATTTGGTAGGAAGCGAACGCCTGGTGTTTTGAAAACAGCCAACACCGAGGCCATTGTGACTGTGCACCTTTTTGCTCTCATCAGTGAATGGGGCCTGCTGTGTGTGAATGGGGCCTGCTGTGTGTGAATGGGGCCTGCTGTGTGTCACTGCAGAACAAAACATCATTAAACAGCTAAGGGAAGAGTGATAGCACCCATCTCTTAGGTCCTACGTCTGACAGAGGATGGGAGTCAACAGTTTTTGTACCACCTGAGAGTCTGATTGACAATGGATGCAGCCAAGCAAACGATAGTTTGGTAAGACGTGTTCCATCGCTAAAAGGTGAAATCTGAAGACGAATGCTCACCTGAGGCACAAACAGCAAGCAGTTCGTGGCTAGTGTGCAGACGAAGATGGAGCCAGAGACGACACTGTAGACCACGTTTGGCCACGATTGCAGAAGCCTGGACACAGGGATGCTCAGAGCCACAGAGAGGGTGACTAGGCAAGCCGCTGCCATTATGGTAAGGGACTGGTTCACCGGGGGCCAGCTGACATCGTTTGTTAGACCAGCTAAGTATGTCCCGTATAGGAGGAGACTGCCCTGGGGAGGGGGAGGATAGAGGAGGCAGAGAGACAAGAAATTGTTGGCATACACCCAACAGGTCTTGTCTACAGTGGGACAAGTTAAATGAAAACAAATGACCCATACTTGTTACGATGAATTAAATGTCATTCACTGTGCAAAGAAATGGTGATTCACTTTTATTGTACTGTGCGACAAACACAAGCGTTAGCAATGTATTCAGTTCTAGTCAGCATGAATCAGTTCTTTTGGGATTCCTGCAGGATCTTCATTGTAGACATGCTGATGCAGCAAGCGGCAGGATGGAGAAAAGCTACTGAAGGAAGCAGCAGCAGCACGACACAGTGAGTGTGTCTGCGTGTGCACGCGTGTGTGTGTGTGTGTGTGCGTGTGTGTAAGGGATATGGCACTTGTAAGGGAACGGATGACGTGGTGCTTATTACTGACTGGGTGATACAGTGTCTCATGAATGAAACACAGTACCCTGAAGGTCACTGATTCAAGGCCCAGGAGAGGCCCTGCTGAAGAACACACTTTAAATAACCTTACTTACTCTAGTCATCCAGTAAGACAGTCAGCTGTAAATAGACATCAGTTCAGTTTAACTTTATTCGTACCCAAAGGTAAATTTGGGTACCACTTATAGACATGGTGGTAAAACCATAAACTGTGATTAAAAACAGCAGTTATCCAGATACATGCGAATGAAGTAAGTCCATGAGGCAGAGGGTGGGTAGGACTGACTTGTCCATTTCACCTTGAGCACTGAGAGAAGGACGATCCAAATATCAGAGTAGTGTGAAGAGCAGAATTCCTGCTGGAACAAGGAGTAGGACACTTCATGTTCCAGCACCTGTGACACAACAGAGATGGGGCTAGATCACAGAAGAACAGATGCAGACTTAGCCCATTAAATGGATTAATGTGCCACCAGTATCTGCAAAGATCCCATTTAATCACCATTTTTCTACCAGAACTTACTCTCATTTTTGAATGAAAGTAATAGATTTAGGGCGAAGGGTGATTTGAGAGGGAAATATACTGTTAGGGATTCGGGCGACTTGGTGCGAAGGCCGAGGTGTGATACATGCAGAGAGGAGGTGGACGACCCACTGGCGGCTCAAAGGACAAACGGGGTTTTTTAACTGAACTAAAAAAAACACAAGAAACAACTTACAAAACAAAGGACCATGAGCGGTCAAAAGTAGATGGGGATAAACAAAGACTAATTACAAAAACAGGGCAGGTAACATACAACTTCACGAACATTCAACAAATCACTAGCAAACTAAACAGAGGCAGGGACTTAAATACAGAAGGTAACAAGACTAACAAGGGACAGGTGAGATTAGTCAACAAGGTTGGGAAAACAGGTCACGGGTGAAACTAATAATTAACTCAAGGAACTAAAACTAAGAACTAACCAAGAAATAGGGAAAAGAGAATCTAACACTGGAGGAATAACAGACAGGTAGAAACACAAGCATGGGCACAAAGAACGAACCCAAAACCAAATATGAATCAGAAGACACAGGAACTAGAAAAACTATAATACGACACAAATGAAACACTAGGGAACAAAATACAAAAACAGAAGAGACACAATTCAAACACATGACAGAGGGGTTCACAGACAACCACATGCTCGACGAGTTGAGCCATGCGGCCGACAGGGAGCTGGGGAACAACAGGGGAACTGACAACTGGAGGGACGGGATGACCAGCGACACCTGCTGGCCAAACAGGGAAGGGACACAGAGTGGAACAGGAGCTGACCCTGACATACACATAGTAAAGGAATACATTCTGGAGGACTGGCGGCCCGGCATTATGAACTTTAACCCAAACTAGAAATCCTTCGTGGTATTCACAATTATTCCCACCCAATCAGATTTACTCCATCCATCCATCCATCCATTTTTATACCCGATTGTTCTATGCAGGGTCACAGCAGTGCATCCCTATCCCAGAAGCTACAAGCGCAAGTCAGGGAATAATCAAATACGGGATGCCAACCTATCATTGCATTTAAACATTTATAACTAGTGAAATACATGTTCGAAATTAAAATGGATTTACAAATAGAATGAAATAATAGATAAAATCTACATTAAAATAAAACAGAATTAAAATAAAGAAGAGATGTATTTCATTGTGTTCTTTAAAATATCTATTTTGATTTCTTTATAGAAAATTGATATAAATACGTGTGGATGGATAAGACTTCAAATAAGGGCTATGTCAGATGTCATCTATCAAATGCAATTTATATCTGATTCTCCCAAAGGAGGGGTTGGCAGTAGGTGTGACGTAACAATTACACCTGGGTAAAATGCAAAATGACTCTGTACTGTACCTTGGCAGCGGCTCTGATGGACTTTCCACACTGGAGTGGGTCAGTCAGACCCCAGGTGCTCAGAACCAAAACATCTATCAGAATCAGCAAGGCCACGAGACCCATCAGCTGGGAGTCTCTGATGATCTGAAAGCACCATTGTTCCACTGGTGAGCACTTTTAGTAAAACTGAGCTCTGTTTATTTTTATGACACGTCCTCACCAACAACACGTCAACAAACACGTCGACAAAGAACCAACAGGAATGCATGTTTGCTTGAAGCAATATCCGCAATTGATGTTGTACTATACTGAAGAAGTAAGGAGAGCAGGAACAACAAAGACTGCTAGTGCAGTTACAGCAGATGCAAAATGTAATCTTTGGGGGATCCAGGACCGACTGATTATCCAATCCCACCCTCCACACCCAGCTCGAACATGCCAGCCACATACAAGTCAAATAAGGTCTGCAGGTATCATTACTATAAATTATCATTATATACCTGTTAACTTCAGCGGGCAGGACTGTCATGTTATATATGTCAGCGAAGAGCTTATTACCTCCATCTCACTCGTGGCGCTAAAAATAACAATGTGACGGTGACATCATCTCCTTAGTATGATATCTACTGGTTGATGAATGGTAACAAAATCGCACAATAATAAAGCCTCATCTCAAAATTCATGTTTTAATTAGACCACAGCAAATATTCCTGGTATAGCTTAACGTTAAAGCATGCTCGTCCATGATTAGAAATGGGCTTAGTACTTCAGGAAGCACTCTGGGCAGTAGGTACTGTAGCGTGGTGGTTAAGGGCATGGCATTGTGCACTGAAGGTGATTCAAGTCCCAGGAAGTACTCAGCTCTAGGGTCCTCAAGCATGGTGCTTAATCCAACCTGTTGTAGTCAAATGTACAGCTCTATAAGTATATAATTATATGAGCTTAGCATTTAAATTGGTGTTGAGGGACATGAGACCCTTGAGTTTACCCATTTCCATCAAGTGACAAAGAACCTGCTCACCGATCCTCCTCACTGCTTTGTCATACCTCTGGGAAATTACCATAATTTCAGGTGTAGCCCTTCTAGCCCCTATCTCATTTCTACTTATCCACTCGCGTAGCTCCTGTCAGACAAGAATAACTATGCAATCCAGGAAACTGGAAATACAGCTGAAGCAGCAACTTCCACATGCACCGGTACTCATTTAAATTTTCTCCCAGGGCCGGGGCAATGTTTGGATTCCCATTTGAAGTTAAATAACGCTCCTGATAAGGGTACGACTGGGGTTCATTTAAAAGGCTCTGGATTTTCTGAGATCACAGATGTATCAATGTGTTTCTATAATGATGGATTACGTATTGAGAAAAAAAAATACACCAGACTATTTAAATGTATTAAGTACGCAGAAAATCCCAGACAATCCCAGAATGAATTGCCTCATTAAAAAGTTGTTGCCCTTAACGTTCAGCCTATTATGACAAGCTACCCAGGTGAGCACCACAATAGCTAAAGCTGATATTACTGAGGTACATGCTTCCAGCCAGAATTCCTATATGAACTTGATGTGCAAAGTTTGATGCTTTTATTTGACCTGTTAAATGTTTTTAAAGAAGTACAAATCTGAAACGGTAAAATATAAAATGTTTTTGGGAATACAAAATGACCAGGTCTACCTTGGTGTAAAAAAAGTATCCTAAACATAAATTGTAACTTATTGGACCACTGTTGTAGCATAGACAGCGAGGAAGAGGAGAGGTGAAGGCACCTACCACCCTCTTATCAGGGACACGCTGGGTGAACACCCGGTACAGCCTCCAAGTTTTCCCCAGGATGGGTCCGAACACCAGAGAACTACCAATGCATAGGGTCCAGATTCGGGCCTGGAACAGAGAGGCACAAGGTCATGGTTTCCCACAATGCTCAGGGGCAACAACTGTTCAACATCGAGCTGCCAAAGGGGGTACGACCGTACACAGGCATCCAGTGAAGAGTTACCATGTGACGTACAAGTGATACATTACAGACATTTTATTAAGCCACATCTCTCAAGCACAGACATGTAAACAAGGCAATCTAAAGCCCATAATCTTTCTGACATTACATTCACGCCATACAAACAGAGACGTGCAGGAATGCCAAGTGCACTTACTCATCAGCTCGTAAAATCAGACCTCTGACATACCATACCAGCATTTCTGGTGACTTTGCCATCCAGAGGAAGGTCAGATCTAAGAAATGTTTTTTACGCATGACTGACAAACGCTTGGCATTTATATTTCCACGGAAAACAGCAGAGCTTGGAAAAAATACTTTATTAATAATAATTATAGTAAAATACTTATTCACATCATCTTCATTCATTCACCTTCTATACCACTTTTCCTATGCATGGTTGCGGGGCGTTAGGTCCAGAGACTATCCTGGTAGCTACGGACGCAAGGCAGAGAATAATTCAGGATGGGACGCAGTTCACATCCACTTTTATGAAGTGGAAATCAATGGCATTGCACTGAGGTTAGGGCTAACAGATAGCGCCCTGCTGTCGTGTCATTTCCTCCTCTATCCTAGTGTTCAAAACCCAACCTCCGCCAAACACCTTTTGTGTTGTAACTTGCATCTCTCTGATAAGGAAGGAGAGTCGTATGAAAATGCACTAAACGTGAACGCCTATACCTCTGTCAGCACCTTCAGCACAGATGCTGGGGTGACCCAGCCTCTTCTTTGTCCACACGCCAGCCCGTTTGTGGCGGTGGTGACTTCAGCTGCCAGGCATTGGTCTTGCCATCTCAGGCTGAACTTGCAGCGGTCGATGACTGGCCGGTAGCCTGCTCCTCACCTCTAATTACCCAGCGCCGCATTCGTATTGCACTGCATTGCATCCCGCAAACAACCAAGGGCATCTCCGCTAACCTTTTATCTAATGAGTCTTGTACCACCTTATCCATCAACCAGCTACCGATGGACTTATCTGAGATCACAAAGCATATATACATACACACATACATACGTTTGTAACAAAACTGATATTGGATAGCAAAAAAAAGACCTTCTGTCTCAAATCTCTATCCTCTACAAAACCAAAATCAATCTGCTGTTTCTCGATTCCTTTACACATGTGGTTTACAGGCAATAACAATGCATAGATCAGGCCCAGGGCTGGAGCAGAAGGCAGACCTTAGCTCCTAGGAAATATGCAGCCACCAAACATCAATAAACCTGCCTGATCTATCATGCCCCACTCAACCCCCTCCACCCCCGGACGACATGTTTTTTCAAATCAGTCAGTTTTTTCTTCAGCACCCCCCCCCCCAAATAAATAATTAACGTTACACCATATTTATTTCCCATTCCTTTCTCTTTCAGCTACGGAGCCCCAGGAATATCGAACCCGGCCCATAAATGTAACTCTTCACTGAAATCTCCTGCAGGCACTGGTTATCCAGCTAAACCATGGCCCCCTTTCCTCTCAGGCCCACTTACGTCCCCCCCCCCCATACGCCTCAGCAACAGCAATTCTGCAATGCTAGCTTCTCAGCAAATAGGCTTTTGTTAATTTTTCAAAGAGAAGAAACATGTGAAGTGGTGCTGAACGTCTTTCCTGATGATGCAGTTCTACAAATGAGTGAGCAGAACAACGATACGTCTGTGGAAAAAGTTATTAATATTAATATCAATATTAATATTAATATTTAAGATTTTTCAGGCCTACCCAGTTTGGAAAGACACATTTTATTCCCCTTGTCTTAGAACATGAGACATCCCCAGACTTTGACGCGTTTCAGAATAGCTTCAAAATTGAAATTCATAGACGATATGCTGCGCGACTGCGCGCTTACATGCGACAGCCCGTACCTGCAGCACGGTCTTGGGCCCAGCGCTGGGAAGGAGGGACTTCTCCTCCACGCCAAAGAGGAAGCCACTGCTGTACGTCAGCAGGCTTCCACACAGGGTGAGAACGTTCAGATTGGGACTGGACATCTTCACTATCCTGAGGAGACGAGGCACAGGGGTTTAGCGGGAGCGCGGAAGGACAAAGAACGGATGCTCCCGTCACAGAGGCAGACGCTGAGTTCAGAAGGCAGTAAACTGTATTCCCGAATATACACTACAAAACAGAAACTCTGTCATCAACACGTTTGGTAGAAGTATCGAATGATGGCATGTTATTTTTGAAATGTTATATAAATACTGTGAAATATTTGGTAGAGTTTCATGAATTACATAGATTTATAATGACAAATAACTTGTATACAGACATCCCACCCCTCCTGGAAATTGACAGTAGCACCCTGACACTCACGAATGGTGAGCAATGTCCCAGAAATCTGTTGTTCTGCGGTAAAATTTAACACCACAACCTCGTCCCTTCCAGTCAGCAAATTTTACTGCCAGCCTAGAGAGCCAGTTGACTAATTTCACTACCTGCCCCCCTCTCCTCCTCCCAGTTGGCAAAATTTACTACCCACATCCCAACAAGCGCCCTCCACCCCCCCTCCCGCACTACACTTGGGTGATAACTAATTTTTAATACCATCTCATTTCTAATATCATCCAGATATTCTAATTCCAATAACGTGGCTGGGGGCATCGGAATATTTTCTAACAAAAATATCACAGTATACGATATTACCATAATACTGCCCATGCCTAGCCAGCACCGCCCCTCTCGATTGTCCCTCCTCCACCTCCCTGAAATGTGTGGGCATGGATGTGGCATATTTTGTTATTAGGCTGAATTCCCCTTCTTTCTGAGATTTTCAGAAGTTTCCTCAGCTGAGCTGGAGATTACAGGTTCAGCATCAGGCAAGCAGGCTGGGTCCAGTCCTACAGGGAGGTGCGGTCCGGCCAACTGACTCGGGATGTACGTACCTATTGTTCCTGCAGCGCAGGGTGAATGTCAGGAAGAGCAGGGCTACCAGGATGCCGGATGATAGCAGCGTCCACACCACCGCACGCAGCACGGGGGACAGCGGGCGCTGAGGAGCCTCATAGCCTGCCTGAACCCACAGGGCGGGACGGGACACCACAAGCAGTGAGCTGAAGTTCACCTGCAATCGGGGGTCCTGAGCCCCGCATAGATACTGAGACATCTAAAGGGGCGGGGCCACAAGGGCACTAGCCCCAGTTGAAAGCTGATAGGCCCCGGAGTGACCCCTCCCCTGTCACACACCGATTCAAAATATATCATTGATTAATGATAAGGTTGGCCCCGGTGTATAAATTAAGGCCCCTCATATGCCCCACATCACCAGAAACGCCTAGAAACACCCTGCAGATACCTAAAGATGAACCTTCACCACAAGTCCTAATTTTCTATTAGTTATTTCTTTAGTTCACTTAGCAGTAAACGGGCACCAAGCCTCAATCCTCCCATTACTAAGTGTTTCAAACGTCTAACATTGACTGGTGACATCATTTGTAAGAGTCAGTGAATCAGTGTGTAATTCTGGTGGTTCATGTTCACAGGACAGTGAATCAGTGTGTAATCACGGTGGTTCATGTTCACAGGACAGTGAATCAGTGTGTAATCACGGTGGTTCATGTTCACAGGACAGTGAATCAGTGTGTAATCACGGTGGTTCATGTTCACAGGACAGTGAATCAGTGTGTAATTCTGGTGGTTCATGTTAACAGGGCAGTGAGTCAGTGTGTAATTCCGGTGGTTCATGTTCACAGGACAGTGAATCAGTGTGTAATTCCGGTGGTTCATGTTCACAGGACAGTGAATCAGTGTGTAATTCCAGTGGTTCATGTTAACAGGGCAGTGAGTCAGTGTGCATTTAAGGTTTGTGTTAATAGCGCCACAGTGAACCAGTGCGTATTTACAGCGGCAGTGCATAATTACAGTGCTGAGTGTACACAGCCTCTGAAGGAGCACCCAGGCCTCCCGGCTGCTGATCCAGGGGTCGATGACGCAGTGACCAGAGCTGCACTCCCTGCTGCAGTTCAGGGCTGTGTCCATAGCGCCAGCCGGCAGTAGCCTGGTCTTACACCATCATCCTGACGCCTCAGAGCCAGATTTACACCCCTGCAGGGTTAGAAGACAACATCAGACTGGTGACTGTCTGCCTTTTCAGGTAAGATTTTTCATGGGCAATACAGCAAAATAAACTGCATCACTGCCAAATTCCCACAATATATGCCGACATCCCACTTCTCCCAGAAGTTCCGGGACTCTCCGCAAATTGACCGCAGCTTCTGGCTGCCATGATTGATGCGCAATGTCCCAGAAATCTGTCGCTCCACTATTCAGCAGCAGAAAATTAGCAAGAAGTTTTATCACCGCAACTCCTCCCCACCTAGTCAGCGAATTTTACTGCCCCCCCCCCTCTAGCCCTTCTTGCCAAATTTTACCTCCAGCACCCCTCTGCCCCCCAGGTGACGCTAGGCTTGGTCAGTATCTAATTTTTAATTAAAATTTTGATGTAACAGTCCAGATATTACACTGTGGAATATGGTATTTTCACGGTATTTTAAAAAGTGACGCTATTCTAGTATTTCCCAAGAAAATTTGCGGGGTGGGGGTGGGGAGGTATTACCATAATACCACCCAAGTCTAACCTAGTCAGCCCCCCACCAAGAAACCGATGATCATTTCACTTCTTCCACAATGCAGGGACCCAGGTAATTGTCTATTCTGCTGGCAATGTATACAATATATACTTTGGCAGGACTTTGTCTGGCTCCCTTTGTGGCTATCGGGCCCTGGACAGCTGTCTAGGCTGTCTATGCTTGGATCTGGCCATGATAATGCCTATATCATGGAAGAGGAATTTTCTAAATATGTCTGAGAGCAAGCTCACTAATCGAAAGAGGCCTTGCAGAGGAAGGTTACATAAATGAGATACCAAAGGGGTGAGCTTTATGTGGAAGCGTCCTAATGTGTGAAACAGGTTCAGGTCGGGGCTGTGGGCCACATTGTAAGTAATGGATCCTGTTGCATTTGCGTTGAAGTAAGAGCAATGGTTCTCATCACCCCTCATCAGCTGGAACCTGGGGGCAAAAGCGGCCTCCTTCTAAAGCTCCTGCTGACTGCACATTCACTTTTTTTTTTCCCTAAGCAATGACTTTGTGAAGTTAGAAATTCCACTGGACGAGAATCACGAAAATATTTTTTTCTAAGTGCGTTTTTGTTTTTCTTCTCAGCATTCAACATCCTAGAACATTCACCTGAATAACAGTCTGTTTAAACCTGGATATAAATTCTCAGGCCATTGCACAAAGAAACCTGGCATTGTGTGACTCTGCTGTGTACCTCACAGTGCAGTATGCACCTTTACTCTGTTCAGGAAAATTCTTACATAATTACTTTTTATAATCATTTTCACTTTATGTCAGTTCAGAAAATTATGATTTTCTTTCCCTCTGGTTCTTTTTTGTAAAATTATTAAAACCATTTGACTTTAAAATTCAACTTTCTTTACCTATATGCCTGACAATTATTCTATTCACCACAAGAGGGTGCTGTGCATATTTAGAAACACTTCAAGTGTGGCTGATTCAGAAATTTCCCTTACGTCACTTGGGAATGGCTAATAGGGAACTGTAGTCCTTTTACAAAATCAGCCCGGCAACACTGAGTGTGGAAGGAAACGTCATATATGGGATACATCATAAAACAGGAAATTACTTAAAATTAATTTTCACTGATACACTTAACAATGATAGTATTTTAAGTGTAAAAATATTCATTATAAATATTTCTTTTCAGATTTCCTTAACAAAGAATACACCTGCCACCTTCTCTTTGGGTGTGTTATAGTTTTTGCATAATGTTCCCTAATTTTTTTCATTTATTATCGGGTGCCTTCAATATATTCAAAATGTCCTGTCTTCTGTCTGGATCTGAAGGTTTCATTGGATTATTGTGATTATTAATGTTTCAGACATACACTGCAATATTTGGTTCGTGAATATTTTTCACTCTCTGATTTACTGGCATGCCACTGAGACTCTGCCTTTTGTGCAATTTTCCACAACCCTGACCAAATAAGCAGCTGTTTAATGATGGATGGATCTGTCCATAGAGTCAAAGAATGTCACCCGAATGATGCTGTTTAATAATAATAATAATGAACACTTTATTAATCCCCGTGGGGAAATTCTTTTTACACCTCCCTCAACTTGCTCTTTGTAGAGCAAGCTGTCCGCGAAGGGCAGCCACCTGTAGGAAGCTGGGGGTTGAGGGTCTTGCTCAAGGACCCGCAGACGTGCTGAGGCTGGGCTTGAACCGGCGACCTTGTGATTACAGGCACACGGCTTACCCAGACTCCGTAAATTTCTCTAGGTTTAAAATTAGGAATGGTACGTTTTTTAGTTTTATTTTTCTTTTGGATACTGGTTGGGGTTTTGTAGAAAATAATTTGTATAAAGGCAGAATAATTTGATATAAAAATGGGTTTTTCTTTGTTTATACAGCATGATACGTCATTTAATTCTGAAAAGGATATCTATAATTAATGCCACATGTATAATCTATCACAATTAAAATGCTAATTACCCTCTGGGAATAAAATTATCCTACTGCCACACGAATAGTGATAAGAATTATTTATTTATATTTTTAGCAATTTAAAACAGTTAATTTCTTTCCCTTGTCTGTCAGGGTATAGTCATCTCTCTGACTTTTAAAGTTTCCTGCTCGCAGAGGCAGCTAAGTGTGGCATTTCCTGTTTGCAATTTACAGAACAGTTATATCCATTTAACATCCTCCATTTTGCCTGGGATTTCTGTCACAAACAAATAAAGGCTGCACAGACTGGCCACCCCTGTACATGTTGGGAAAAATAACAAACATTTAATTGGAGGCATTTAAATGCATTTAAGAAGGCTTTAATGTGTAGTCATTGTTTGGTTTGAGCGTCCCCCGTTCCTGGTTGACTAAGCACTCACACTCCCATTTGCGCAACATATCGCAACACGCAATCTACGCGCAACGTGCTATTTCTGTATCGCAAAATATTGTCCATTATAAACGGGTTACACTACGTGCCTTTCTAAAATGCCTGTTCAAGTTGACCACCACCTGTATTTTTTCCCGTAGCATTCCAGGCTTTGTGTGGGCTGCAGATGACTGTCATATCCTGAAATTTGCAGCGGAAGGGTCAGAGAGGTTGTGCTGCACACGATACCGGATTTACAAAGAGCTCGACCTCTCCTTAGTGAGGGGCCCTGCATGCACCGCGTTGGCGGAAACACGAGCCCCAAACACCAAGACAACCGCCAGAGAAACACACTATTCTGTCCCTCCTCGCATCATTAATTCTAAAACTGATATTGGCACAAAAGTATAACGTAGGTCTACAACTTAAATTAATTGGTAAATTAAAATGGGCATAGGCCTACTTTAGGAAAGGTTTCCATTCTGCATCTCAAATTATATTTAATTAAAACTTTCAATGCCGTCTCTCCTGTTACTTAACTTATTATTATTATTATTATTATTATTATTATTATTATTGGGTGGAAAACCATTTAGTATCATTATTCACAGAAACCGCAAAAAACGATTTCACGTCAATGTAACTATTTTAATTCGTGCGCATAGTTATATTTAGGCATATTTATGGATCTCTAATGATGCCAGTTATGCTCATTTTTAATTAAATTTTGAAAAGACAAATGTAGGGATATACCTGCAACCTTTATTTTCCGAAAAGAAATGTAAGAGTTTGACAAACGTGACGTTACATACAGATGATTTAGTAAATGGGTCTCGCTCATTTCGCCGCGTGTCTTTGCCATAGGGTTTGCAGACTGGCTATTAATGTACAGTATGTGTTAGGTGGGTTTACTCTCCTTTCTTCAGAATGATGAAAATGCATCACACTCCCTGAGGCCTACAATGATGTAAGCGCTAAAGAATTAACCTCACGCTTAGAGTTTAATAATAAAAAAAAACATTCGTGGGGAAACAGTCTAACACCAGTAGGCTAATACTGTTCACTTTTATAAGTCTTTATAACAGTCATTTTGACATGAAGTCCTCCACTAATTTTAATCAATGTTTTCAAGCCCATTCTTTTTACATATTATTCAATCTTCTTTTAAAATCAATTTTAGCAGACTCCGATCTTTGACCATAGCCTCATCATTTTAGATTTCCCCTTTATTATTCTTTTTTTTTTTTGTTATCGTTTGTTTTTAATATTATTTTGTAATAGGGTGGATCAATGAAAAGAACTGCAGGCGGACAGAACTGTTTGGGGTAGGCTGTGATATTGTAAAATTCTTCCTGGTGTAATCCTTTTAGAAATTTTGCTTAAGCTGATCAACACTAAGAAATGAAGCCTACTGGGGTACTCCCATTCACGCGCAGCACAATAACACCGTAATTCAAAGGGAATACAGGAATTATCCATTAGCGTGTTGCACTTTTTAAAGTAGTAAATGCAACATGTTTCACCCAATTACACTTTTAAAGTGACAATTCTATTGATCATACAAATAAAACGTCGTCTGGATCAACGTGCAACTCAGTAGTGGACAATGCAAACTTGACAGTGTTCTTGAAAAGTGTACAAGATTGTCCTAAAAATATTAGTTAATTAACCGCTTAATTTCTTTGCCTCGAGGTTCAAATAAACGATTTGCTATAAATTAGGGTTTGAAATGTTGCGATCAGCTCATGTCCAACACATATATTATTTTTGGCTTGCAATGATCATATAGCCTATTTCAAGTTATATCTCAAGTTATATCTCAGATTCTGCATATTTTTTCAGACATATAGACTACAAATTGAATATCTTGGATGGTATTTTGAAGAACTTTTCAGTTTTACAGTAAGGGGATAATACTATGTGGACTGCGTTTTGTGCTACTTTTGTAGCTCTTAAAAGGGGAAATATCCAAAGAGACCACACGTACCTGTGCGCGAGGCTGGTGCCATTACAATGATGTATAATCCCAGCGCTTCCCGGCTGTCCTCAGTCCGTGTCTTACAAAACGAAACAAAATTCCTAAGGGATTGTGCCTTGGCGCCTCGATTGCTTAAAAAGTGATTTCGTTCATCCAGAAGTAGCAACATTTTTAGTCATTAGCAATACTTAATACTGATTCATGTTAAACACTGGGAACTTGCAATTAACGGATGAAAACCGAAGCACATCACAGAAACCGGGACAGGAAAAGTGTCGAGAAAAAGGAGGGTACAGGAGAGGCACGTCTCAATTACAAAGTGTGGCTTTTAAGCAACAGTACTAACATGGGAGCGGGAGTGTGGAAGGAGGGAGAAACACTGTCTGGGTGCTCAAGCACGTGCGAAGTGCCGAGAGCTCAAATTTATGAAGCCTTTCTATGTAAATGAATACGAATTACTATATAAAATCCACGTTCCCGCAAGAGGCAGCGTCACATGTAGAATCATTCATTATCCGGCACACAAATCATGTAGGACTACTATAAACAGCATGAAACGAATATATCGATGCGATAAACGCAAAACGCGCATCTACCATTAATATCGGCATAATTTGTGAATTCTTTGCACTTTCAAGTGGTCGATCGCAGCCGCCATAAAATAAAACCGTGTCCCGCTAAAAAGCATCACAAAGAATTAGTTTAGGTAAAGTGATTAAAATAAAAAAGGAATCATTAAAATAAATATTCTTCACGTAGCCTTTTTACACGTCTGTAATCCTGTGTTTCGCGTCTGGAAAACTTGCTGAAGATTTATCATACAACTGATTATGCTTTAAAAAGTTGACATTGCGACATCCATTACATAAGAGAAGCAGCTATAAAATTAAAACGAATTTTAAGTGTATAACGTAACGAAAATAAAAATCGACTTCTGAAATGGTTTTGACAATTAAAAAAAAACTTCTACTGATTTCAGCGACCACTAATAAAACAATATGTAGACCCCACCCCCTGACCAACACCCAGGTGAAAGATACGTGGTAGTCGGGTTGGATGACACATGGAGGAGGGGGGCAAACTAGGTGTTTGTTGATCCGCAAATCCATATCGTCAAAACAACTCATTATCAGACCTCACCGTCCATTGTTGCTGGAAACAAAAATAAATGTATTTTTTTCTAAACCCAGCCACATTACGGCATTAACAAAGAGGGGAAACATATTCTGTGTTTTCTGAGGGTGTTGGCTTTTTACTCATATGCGTTGCAGCTGCGCCAACACATCCTCAGACATCTTTCCGAAAGGGCAGCCGGTGAAATGTTTCTTGTGCGTTCAAAATTTCTCACCCAGAGTCAGAGAGGTGTCTACTGACTTTACTAATCCAGGGAAACCCGCTATGAGAAAGAAGACGGAGTTATTTCCGTCCGCCAATTGTTAACTCAAAAATGCACTTCAGTGAAGGGAGGAGAGGGAAGTATTCATTTCAAATGAATTATGGGTAATGTGCGATTAATCGGATACAAGCATAAAAATGAGTGACGTGGCAGATATCCTTTTCTGTAGGTATGGAAGTCCCTGCAGAGCATAAGATTTATTTAGGCCCGGAATTCCTGTTTCTGTCCTGCGTGATTAACACAGTACGTCCATGGACCAGTAGATGGCAGTGTTTGCTATTACCAGTAACAAACTGCAGTACTTCGGATGGAGTTGAAGTCCGTTCAGTGGACTGAGCAATGTTCACAAGAACAGATATGCAGAAACATTATGTCAGCTTAACCCGCAAATGCTCAGGGGACTCATGCTTTAATTATACAGCAACGCTAACTATTGCGTTTCCACCAGAAAGGAATGTCCTTTTCCATTACTGTAGCCGGATCCACACCCATTGTTCCATTCTATCCTCCATTTACCCCGGTGTGGATACAGAGTCTGTTATTTATCTTGCCCACTGTGCAGAAAGTAATCTCTAATCCATCATAATGATCAGGATCAGGTTTACTTTGAAGCAGGTGTAGTGCATCCAGACTCATGTTGCAACAGAATTAATATTTCACAAGGGAACATAAGGTGCTATTTGACCAGCTACAATTCTGAGAGACCCATTGCTAGGTTAGTTCAGTCCACCATCTAAAATGTCCAGACAGGGACAGGCTTATTCTAATAATGAGTATGGAAAGAAGTGTTTTCCAACAGTCCTAGAACTCACTGTTATCATAGAGTCTGGGCTATTTATGTTATTATAAAAGGGCAATGAAAAACATGAGGGTTCCTTAAAAATACTTGCAACCAGGCTAATAAAAACCAACACACAGTAAACCAAAAACCTTTCCCTATCTCCCGTTCTCAATGACAAATCTTTGCATGGTGACTTAAATTGGCCAGCCACCATCACTTCACTGTGTCATTTTGGGGAGACCTTTTTCTGGTGCCCATCCTAAAGTCACATCTCAGAGTAAAGCTGGAAGGACAAATTTGGGCCCAGGTAAGCTGAACTGGCTATCTACCCAAGTAAGGCTTTGCAAGGAACAAATCACACACTACAACAGCGGTCTGTAACCTTTTCTGTACCACAACCTATTTTTTACCATGCCAACTCAGTAACGACCCTATATTAAGTATAAGTTTAAATTAACACTATGCTCAAGCGCACAGTGCACTCTGCAGTTTATGCCAATCAACGCCTATTGCACAAATCTGATTGGATGTGCCAGTGAATTTTAAATTAAGCATCTGCCGGTTTGGCTTCTTGGATTGGTCGAGTGTTCGCTAGTTTTGGGTACCGACCCATGGGTAGAGAATCGCTGCACTACAATAAACCCAGCAGGACTTGGACCCGTCACAGTTACAGAAACAAGGTCCGCGAACTCATTCACCTTGTTTACTATCTTATCACAAGAAGCTCATCGACAAAGGAAATTAAGATATGTTTTGTCAACTATTGCATGCGATAAAAAATTCTATTGTCCATAAATGCGCAGACAAAACCAACAACCAAAGTAGTTCCTAAAGACAAAAAAAAATAACCACGATATTTAGTGCAGTTACCATTACCATAGAGCGACACATAGAGTAGAAACTCTTACTTGTTTTGGTGTCATGGTTGTTTTTTGTCTTAATTTCTCTTTTTAATTAAGTATACTGAGCCTGTAGCCTCTGGGATGGGCTCCAGACCCTCACAACCCTGAATAGGATAAGCCGTTTCTGAAAATGGATAGATGGATGGATAGATGGATAGAATTAAGAAGACGTTTATTGCTGTTTATCTGAACATTTCAGATATGACTAAACCAAGCTGACTAATGCCCATTTTGACTGCTTTTGCTCTCAGTTATTCAGTTTAATTAAATTCAGTTCATTTTTATATAGTGCCTTTTACAACACAGTTACCCCAATGCAGTGAACAAGAGCCTGTTATCTGCCCAATACCCAAAAGCACCCATTTTAATTATATATTTCAGTTCACAAGCAGCAGAGTTGATGTGGCGAAAGGGGCAACGTCAGCACCAAAGTCAGCAGTATCTGAAGTGACAGTGATGATACATGACTGGGGCCCTAGCAGAGCGCAAACACAGCGCTGACCGCATCAGGAGGGGGAACTTTGACTCCCCCGGGTGACGTCCCTGACGGTACAGAGAGACAGAAGGGCTCCGCGGTACCGAGCTGATCACCCCTAGATGTCCGAACAGCTGAGTCACTGAATGTCTTCAAAAGACGACTTAAAACACACCTTTTCCAGAAATACCTGAATTAACACTTCTGGCATTATACTCTGTTTTTTTCCTTTTATAAAAAAATAAAAAATAAAAAATAATAAAAACGCACTTTCCCAACAGAGTATTAGATCGATGGTATTCATAGCCTTGGTATTATTGAGGTAGTATCGGGAAAAATTCATTGTAGAGTCTTAAAGCACTTATGTAAGTCGCTCTGGATAAGGGCGTCTGCCAAATGCTGCTGTAAAAAAAAATATCAGCTAAGCTGGCAAATCCCACAAACAAGATGCAATATACATTAGCCAGAGGGCCACGGTGTAATAAGGGTTGTATTCTTGCTCTGATAAGTTTCCCCTGTGTCATGCAGAGACCATGCCAAGGCAGGGTGTCTGCGAGTATTCAGGGCGGTCATGCTGCCCAGAATAAAGTCTCTGCCTTGTGCCAGCAGTATTATGGCCGCTGACTTTTGCTCTCTAGTTTTACTGTGGTGAAGATGAGCTTAGTGCCTTTGTTGCTATAATCAATTCCTGCACTTGCTGCAGTCCCTATAGGACTTGCTGCTCTGTACGGAATTTTATGTCACTCTATCGCTTGAAACATGTATCGGCCTTTTCTCGACGGAGAGGGAACACTCAATGTAATTCAGATTCAAAAATTCTGGTTTTATTATCCCAGCAGAAACTTAAGAAGGGGCATTTTAATGGTAAAAAATAATTTACAGAGATAGCAATAACTATCAATTAAAATCTGAGCACATTAAAGAGTAGAGTAAGAGTAGATTACCTTTTTCAGTTAGGAATTTGGTGTCAAATCATATCAAGTGTCCAGCTGTAAGTGGTCCTCCTTCCAAACATTCATCTCAGTATAATAAATATGATAAAATTAATGTCCATGGTAATGTTTCTGTAATAGAACTTAATCTTCATTTTGGGTGGCTTTCCACTCATCCTTTGTTAATTCTGTCTTACTCTTGGGTAAACCCTGCACTAGGATCTTCATTTCTTTATTTTTTATTTTTTGCACGTGTGTCTTAGTTTTCAGCTGACAGGACTATAGCACCCCTCTGGCAATCACGCAGCAGCGGTAACACAATCCTCATGCGGCTCTATGCTATCACAGGAGGTGCAATTTTCTTGAAGTGGCAGGCAGGACACGCATGAATGCTGGCACGGTGACTGCATTCGTAATGAGTTCGGGGGGAGAATAGGAACAAAAAACAATATAGGGAACCATTTTCTTCCTTTGAGAATAACAAATTGGCAGAAGGTTGGACTCTGCTGAGAACTTGTCAAATTAGAGAAAATTATGACATCACATTGCTGCTTTGTTGCATGTTAACACGATTGTCATTCTAAGCTTTTTGATTAGTCAGCTTAATGTTGTTTTTATGTAGACGTTTTGGGATTGTATACCCATCATTAACGTAGGTGAAGATCTAAGTCGAATATATTTGTTTATGGGTGGTAAAGATAACCTTTCTGGCCCAGTGGTCCACCATCGATCTGGAAGGGTCTCCATAAATCGATCCTCTGCCTGGCTAAGGGACGTCCTTGCAGTTAATTCCATGACATGAAATCTGTTTGACCAAAACTTTTCACTGTCTCATTTCAAATTGTTTTAACTTTATAAATGCCTCATGAAGAACTATAAAAATTATAATTAGGGAATAGCTTTATCAAATAGCTGCTAACTTCCATGTCTTCTCCTCCACTGCGCATTATGTAACTGCTCTGTTAATCTAATTGGGGGGGGGGCTTTTTAGGAATTCACAATCTGTGCTAAGAACTTGAATTCCAAGTACAGGGAACTTATCAGACTACTATCATGACTGTAGAGGGTGTTGTTATTTTTCATAACAAGTTTGTGTACTGAATAGTAGCACATCTCCAACCCCCCCCCCACCCCACCACACACACACACACACACACACACACCACCCAGTCGAGCTGCCAACCCACGTTTACACATTATGTGTTTGTCAAGATAGCCAGAATGCTCAGAGAAAGAATTCAGTCAGCAGACAGTGAACAGTATTCAGTAGACCTGGAGGAAGTTCTACTGTGTGACAGTGGGAAGTCCAATTCAGGCATAGAGAGCTCTACAGAGGTGAAAAGCATTGGAACAAAGGTCAATCGAGCCAAAGAACAAACCAGGGGGAAAATATCTGTCTCTCAAACCTATCAAAGCCTTCGGTTCCCTGCTCAGGCGAGAAAAAAGGAGAAAGAGAAGCAGAAATGGATTT